GACGGTAGGCTTTGTTACTTTGGTCCCAGCTCTCTGCAGGTCATTCACTAGGTCCCCCCGTGTGGTTCTGGGATTTTTGCTCACTGTTCTTGTGATCATTTTGACCCCACGGGGTGAGATCTTGCGTGGAGCCCCAGATCGAGGGAGATTATCAGTGGTCTTGTATGTCTTCCATTTCCTAATAATTGCTCCCACCGTTGATTTCTTCAAACCAAGCTGCTTACCTATTGCAGATTCAGTCTTCCCAGCCTGGTGCAGGTCTACAATTTTGTTTCTGGTGTCCTTTGACAGCTCTTTGGTCTTGGCCATAGTGGAGTTTGGAGTGTGACTGTTTGAGGTTGTGGACAGGTGTCTTTTATACTGATAACAAGTTCAAACAGGTGCCATTAATACAGGTAACGAGTGGAGGACAGAGGAGCCTCTTAAAGAAGAAGTTACAGGTCTGTGAGAGCCAGACATCTTGCTTGTTTGTAGGTGACCAAATACTTATTTTCCACCATAATTTGCAAATAAATTCATTCAAAATCCTAAAATGTGATTTTCTGGATTTTTTTTCCTCAATTTGTCTGTCATAGTTGACGTGTACCTATGATGAAAATTACAGGCCTCTCTCATCTTTTTAAGTGGGAGAACTTGCACAATTGGTGGCTGACTAAATACTTTTTCCCCCACTGTAGGTAGTACAATGTCTGGAAGCAGGAGACGATGGAATCCTTAGCTTAAAACATACACACAACTACCAAGTTCAATGTCAGATACTTTTCTCCCAGAAGGTCTGAGTTGCACTTGGAGGTGCCACTGTGATAATGAAGATGGTTTGCCTAAGACTACCATAACAATTACATGCTAAATATGTAGTAAATAGTGTGTGGTAGCGATATGGCTATGTTTCATAACTATGAATGGCACAAAAATGACAACAATTTAATGTATCATAAGGTAATATAACTTAACTTACATGGCAATCGGCTCAGGTCTAATATAGATCACGAAAGTCCCAAGCGTCAGGACCATCTCCTAAAGTTGATTCAGCTGCGGGATCGGGGCACCACCAGTGCAGAGCTTGCTCTGAAATGGCAGCAGGCAGGTGTGAGTGCATCAGCACGCACAGTGAGGCGAAGACTTTTGGAGGATGGCCTGGTGTCAAGAAGGGCAGCGAGGAAGCCACTTCTCTCCAGGAAAAACATCAGGGACAGACTGATATTCTGCAAAAGGTACAGAGATTGGACTGCTGAGGACTGGGGTAAAGTCATTTTCTCTGATGAATCCCCTTTCCGATTGTTTGAGGCATCCGGAAAAAAGCTTGTCCGGAGAAGACAAGGTGAGCGCTACCATCAGTCCTGTGTCATGCAAACAGTAAAGCATCCTGAGACCATTCATGTGTGGGGTTGCTTCTCAGCCAAGGGAGTGGGCTCACTCACAATTTTGCCTAAGAACACAGCCACGAATAAAGAATGGTACCAATACATCCTCCGACAGCAACTTCTCCCAACCATCCAAGAACAGTTTGGTGACTAACAATACCTTTTCCAGCATGATGGAGCACCTTGCCATAAGGCAAAAGTTATAACTAAGTGGCTCTGGGAACAAAACATCGAAATGTTGGGTCCATGGCCAGGAAACTCCCCAGACCTTAATCCCATTGAGAACTTGTGGTCAATCCTCAAGAGGTGGGTGGACAAACAAAAACCCACAAATTCTGACAAACTCCAAGCATTGATTATGCAAGAATGGGCTGCCATCAGTCAGGATGTGGCCCAGAAGTTAATTGACAGCATGCCAGGGCGGATTGCAGAGGTCTTGAAAAAGAAGGGTCAACACTGCAAATATTGACTCTTTGCATAAACGTAATGTAATTGTCAATAAAAGCCTTTGACACTTATGGAATGCTTGTAATTATACTTCAGTATACCATAGTAACATCTGACAAAAATATCTAAAAACACTGAAGCAGCAAACTTTGTGAAGACCAATTCTTGTGTCATTCTCAAAACTTTTGACCACGACTGTACTTTTCATTTCACCTGTACAACAATATAGCCTATTATTAAAGTACAGTATGTTTACAATATCATAAACAATAGTATTTTACATGTTGTTCCAAATTACAGTTGATATATTCATACATAAATAAATTACTGTGAAACTGTGTTTCTGTTTAATCAGCAGTTATTGCTAAACCCTTCATTTGGTTTAAGGGGACACTTTTGACATGAAGATAAGGTGAAGGTGCTCACTTCTCAAATGGCACAACAGAATCATACAGATTGGTTGTCAAATGCTGTGCCTTGGTCATTTTGTCTAACTGAGGGATGTCTCCTTTCATATCTGGTAAAGGAGGAAGTAGTAGAAGTAGAAACTGATTGCTCATCTTCACAGTGGGAATCCAGTCGACATGGGTGTCTTGATAGAGGTCAACTGGTAAACCTACAGTACACAATCAATAAACAAAACATGCCGACTTTGGGCACTACAATATCATGGTTTGCGTTTTCAACACCACAATAAATAGACTATGTCAATCTCGACAAACAGAAATACATCCCTCCCTACCGTGTAGGCTTACCTAGTATCGAAGGCTTGACTTGACAATCTCTAAATGTCATGAAACGTTTTGGTGTTTTGTAATAGATGTCTCTTTTCATTCATCAAATTAACGCAGCACAGTTTGGATTGTTTGATTGATTAATTTTATTTGTCAGTTAAAAAAATACACAATATACACAAATAATTGTTTAAGTGACCGGGATTGCACAATAAAGTCTGGGACTTATTTCCATTGTGGTCCCTACATTTGCTGCAGCATATGCTACAGTAATATAAGGACTGCATGCGCGTCTAATTTACACATGTCTATCTGGCTTTCGGGGTCACCTTATTTTTTAACATAGCTACATCTATGGCCTTTTATGTTTTTCTGTCGTGCTTAATGTGCGGTAGCGATATAGGCTATGTTTATAACTATAATGGCACAAAAATGTAGGCTTTTTTTGGGCTTGGGCTAATAAAATGTCTTTAATGTAGGGCTCATCAGGCTCAGGTAGCATCATACTTGAATTTTCATGCCGATCAAAGCTCTAATCAAATCCAAACATATTAATACGATTCATATGCTTTAAAATGACACTTCCGGTTTGGGAGGGAAATACCGGATTACCCGGGAGAAACATGATTATTCTAGGGATGGAACATTTGTACAATACCGGGAAAATATTCAACCCTAGTCTGTGGTTATTCTTTAGATGTTTGGGGCTGCTGGTGAACCATGCATGATGTGCAGGCATAATCAAAGTGACCCTGGACTAGGCACTTGCCAGAGTCTTTATGGTGTCTATAGGTTTCCATTCAATTGGCGACAGATTTTCAAAGCAAATATTCTAAAATCTGCATAAAAACAATATGCACATTTCAGTGTTTCCTTTAGGAAAATCTGGCACCGGAGAACGTGACCGGACATTTGAGAAATGTACCGGGCACATCCATATGCATTCAGATCATACATATGCATTCAGATCCGATTTGGCGCAGCCAGCGCCGTCAATAAACGAGGGATATTGGCCAAATTAGCCACATTTACATGTATTTAAATACATCCCATAACAAATTACAAAAACACAATTACTTTTGTTTGCATGTGTAGCATATGCAAAACTTTGTAGGCATTTTTTTTTTTTAATCGTTTTTTAGGCTATTTTCCTAAAACAATAATTGTCCACCTCATGGTTCAGCTGTCGGAGATTTGAGCACTAAATGCATCAGGGCATTGCATGCATAGGCCCATAGGCCTACTGTAGGTGTCCACCGATATTAAAATAAAAAATATATTTAAAAATGCCCTATATAAAGGAAGAGAATTTTAGGCCTAGCCCCAGAGAGATAGAGAGAGATATATGCCTGCTGCATGTTATGACTCCGACATTCATTTCTTTATGTCAGATGGCTACTGCGTCTGCTATAAAGATATAGATGTACAGGAGGCTAATTCATAAATATTCTATTTGAATATTTTGTATAAAGATAAGCATTGGTTATGGTAGGGCTGAAACATTCTTCCTTACCTCAAGTTCAACTGTCGGAGTCAGTTGGAGCGCCGGTGCACATTGCCTTCATATCATAGGCTTGCAGTAGCTAAAGCTTAATAATGTCTGGTATGATTTTTATCTGTGGTATTTTCAGTGTGGTATGATTGCTAGTTAGCCTACTGCAGATCTGGACAATCGATCCACTACTGTCACTATGAATGGTGGATAGAGGGCTGGATAGACTAAAAGTTAGCACACAGAAAAGCATAGTGCATAAGGGAAGTACCAAAACACCTTGATATAGGGGAGGCGCATGCAAGCACATGAGGAAATGTGGCTAGTATGGAATAAATTATATAGTAAAACCTGCAAAATAGCTCATGTAAACCAGGGGGGGAAATGCACTCCCTCCCCTGTGCCCCAAAGAAAAAAAATAAGTTGGACAACCCTCCCCTATTTTGGACCACCACTCCCCCCCAGTAAATTGCAACCTGTCCCTTACCAGTGATGAAATGATCGGAGCAGACCCTATACTGCCAGCTGTCTGGGTTCAGGTATTGATGTTTCTTCGCTTTTCTGACAGTTCTTGAGTCTTATTTACTTGGTGTTTCATGATTGCAGGTAATCTGTAAAAAATATTGTTTCCCCGTTGTCATTACCTGCCTTGTTAGCAGCCATATACTGCACAGAAATTGAATCAACTAGTTTTAGGCATTGTTATCATGCAGCTTGGGATAGCCTCTCAGCTTGTTGTCGGAAGAATTGATGCCGTGGTCTTCCAACATGGCAGTAAGGAGGCGTCGTACATCGGCTGTCAATCTAGAAATATTAAACGACACACCATTTCGACCAATCATAACCATCAGATGGTTTATACGGACATGTCAGTCAGCCATTCAGAGCACTACAAGCGACACTCGAAATAAGTGGGTGTGGTCTTTACAATGAAGATTTATATCAGGGATATACAGTGGGCGGGGTTAAGTACAGTAGATTTATTACGTTTTCATCGACGCTGTTGTGTGGTTTGCCTTCAATTTATCAGTCTTGCTAATAACAAATTACACAGGGACTTTGCGAAATAGACAGTGCAAGGGATCAAGTCGCTTCGAAAAGGCGACTTGATCGGTCAGAAACTGTAGCTAGCTAGCTAACGTTAGCTTATCTCGGTCAAAGTAAATCTGTCAAAAGGGATGCCGCTGCAATCCATGTCAGACGGATTCAGGGGATCTTTGGACTTGATGTCGTCTCATTTAATCGGCATAAGCAGTTTTTCGATAAAAGCTTTAACGATAAATCAATCTTGTACGAGCATCTTTTTAAATTGCTGAAGTTTAGGAAGTAACTACTCTGACAGTCAGTGCTAGCTAACTTGCTGGGACAGCATATGCATAGCAACAACAACAAATCTGTTGCGTATCCTCTCCCGCTAAGAGAAACCTCATCAGTGAAATTGGTGAAGAAGACATTTCAGTTCCACAAAGAGCGTCGACGTTATCTTTGGTAAGAAGAATGTCTCATGTTTATGAGGAATGTGTAGATTAGCTAGGTACTGTAGCCAACTACCTAGCAAGCAGAGGTTTTAGTGGGGGGAGGGGGTAAGATAGACAGAAAGGGGTTGGTCGTTTTACTTTTGGGGCTTGCCTTTTTGTTTACCTTCCACATTTCCCCACGGGGTTCCCCCATAGAATTAGGAATTAGAATACTTAGGAATCTCTTTGGTTGCCCCCCTATGCTTATTAAATGGGTCAGTGGAATCAGACACTAAACAGTGCAATGCAGCTAACTAGCTAATTTATTTGGGGGTGTAGCTACTATAGCTATATCAAATATCATAATTGAGCTTTGAGACCACCAGCCTGGTCTCATAGACTAGACGTAACATAGTAAACGTAAATCAGGAAACGTAAATTAGTATAATATTTTAAGTTTGATATGGTTACATAAGAGAGCTGGTTACTTAAGGAGGGTAGTTGGTTACTTAAGTAGGGTGGTTGGTCGTCTAGCAACCCAAAGGTTGCAAGTTCTAATCTCATCACAGACATGACTTATCACAGACATGACATGTGGTTCTCTGTAGCTCAGCTGGTAGAGCACTGCGCTTGTAACGCCAAGGTAGTGGGTTCGATCCCCGGGACCACCCGTACACAAAAAAATGTATGCACGCATGACTGTAAGTCGCTTTGGATAAAAGTGTCTGCTAAATGGCATATTATTATTATTATTATATTATTATTTACTACTTTTTAGCTACTTTGAAACTACTTAGCAAATGTAGCTAACATTAATACCTAGCTAGAATTTGTAACATATTGTATGTTTCGCAAATTCATAACATTGTACTTTTTGCTAATTCCTAACATTGTAATTCCTAACATATCATATGAAATGGGTGATGGATTCCACAAATTAATACATACCTTAAGAAATGTAACATATCATACTAAATGGAGTATCTCGGATATACTTACAGGAATAATACAAAATGCTCTGAGACCAGGTTGTGTCCACATATTGCTGCAAACCTGCTTCACTGGGCAAACTTTGATCAACCTGACCCTGCCAAGTAGATCAATAACTACACCATAGGGATAACATTTATTTAATACGCACTGTTTTCCCACTTAGGAAGCAGTGTAAAAGTATTCTTGAATGTCTGATGGACTGTCTATTTTAACATTTCCCATTCCTCTCACAGGCAGCAATGAAACTGTTAGAGAACAGCAGTTTTGAAGCCCTGAGCTCTCAACTCTGTGCTGAAACGGGAGAGTCTCGCATCCTTGGCAGGTAATTACCATAACAGCACTAGACCAGCATCATCAGTCGATCAAATTACCTCATATCTAATCACATGTCACAGAGTGTTTTGTAAAGCCTGCGTTACTGTTGCATGACTAACACATAGGTTCACATTTTTAACCGTGTCTAAATGTATTTCCTTTAGTAGGCCTGTGTGTGAACCGCAAGTACATGGTAACAGATGGAACTGTAGGCTACTACTACAGGGTCAGCTGTTCACGGACCATAACACACCCCTCCTTTGTGGATGGTGCATGCATTCCGTGCCTCTCTTCAGGGGTGTATTTCATATTGGGTTAATAGGCTCTATTTTAAAAGGCAAGATTAACACTTTGGGGCTCTCTGGGAGCATGAACAACACCATACAGCCTATGAAGGGTAAAGTAAAAGCTGAGGACACTGCATATGTAAACACAGAGGTGAACAACAAACTGTCAGAATAAGATGGTCAACTGAACTCCCACAGAGGTGTCTCTGTGCAATAGATCAGTGGTGTAGGCTACCTGAAAAGTACCTGAGCATGACCAGATGAGGCAATATTGGGTTTTATGCAATAGGATTGCCATAGGAATTTAGCCCTAATCCCCATCAAGCCCTTTAGTGATTACTGGTAATATGGACAATTTTGCTAAATAGGTGTAATCTCTCTCACAAAAAGTATTGATCCCTTAAGATGGTGGATGAGTGTTGTGTTATGCAACGGGGGTAGATTAACTAAACTGCAGCAGGCATTGAGGTAACAGTAGGAGCAGGGATTCTACATAAAGGACTGTAGGTTATGGAACCAGTGGGAACGGTGCAGGTGGTGGTAACCCCTTTCGTGGTTCTGACCCATGGGGGCAGTCTGACACATGACAAGGTGTCCTCTAACAGGCCTTTGTGGCTATTTTTATGCTGTAATGGAGAGTGGTATAGAGCGTACACAGACACACACACACACACTCACAGCTGGGCACTGATGGTGTTTAGTCTGCTGCTTACTGGATTAGTATGGCCCATGATGGCAGCAGTGGCCAAGCTGGCACAATGTGACTCAGGCTGATTCTTTCCACCCCAATAAAAAGCCAAAGTCTGCAATTACTCAGAAATGTTCAACTGGACACATAATGATACAAAACAGAGCACGCACTCACACATGTTTGAGGTTCACATATTCTATCATAGTTTTCCATAGAATGGCTGTTTCTGGATAAAAAGTTTTATTGAACCAGGAAGTCTGTTACAAATAGGCCTACACACACAAACAACTATCCTATATAGCCTAATTTGTGTATTTATTCACAACTAGGCCTAACTATCCACATGCTTTTAGCAAAACTTTAGGCCAACCTTTCTACAGGGTTGAGATCTCTAGCCATCCCTATTTTTTAAATGTTAAATTTTTTTCATTTGTCTGTTAATGGAAACTATGCCGGTTGTGTGACCTCCTCCACCCCCCTGACCTTTGCTCCTTCCTATATTTAGACTGGGCCACAGTGCGTCTCTGAGCCAGAGTGAGTTGCATAACTGAGGTTGGGGGGAAAAATAAACATTACCAGACCAGACACTGCTCCACTCCCTGAACCTAGTGGCATTCCAGCCACATCCCTCAAATAGAACACAATGAAACAGAGACACAGAAAACAGAGACTTGTTAAAAGCAATAAACACAAAGCACCAGACAATGTGTTATGGGAGGGCCAGTAGATGAGATACGGTACTGTTTGCAGTATTGAATTAGTTTGGCACAATACCCATGTCCTCCGCAGTCAGTAGATTAAAGGAATTCCACTTTTAATACAATGCCAACAGTTTAATTCTGGGTTTTGTCTGTCTCTTAAGGATCGAGAGCTACTCCTGCAAGATGGCTGGTGATGACAAGCACATGTTTAAGCAGTTCTGCCAGGAGGGGGAACCACATGTCCTAGAGGCCCTCTCGCCCCCCCAGTCCAGCGCCACCAGCCCACCCCAGTAAGTACCACAGCCACACCCCTTCTCAATGTTTGCATAACATGGGTATGATCACAAGGAACGAAACAGATGCCAAACAGATACCACAATGTTTTCCATTGTGAAATGTTTTGCTACGGTGTGCACTAATGAATACTACTCGGTAGATACTGGTGTTTTATCACACTATCAGTCTCATGTGGCACATCATATTTTTTACTTCCCAACCAAATAACTCCACTCTCTCCCTTGCGCTCTCTTCTTATCTCCCTTGTTTTGTGCAGACTGGGGAAGAGCAGTGAGGATGGTGAGAACCCTCTGAGTGACAAGTGTTGCAGGAAGACATTGTTCTACCTCATCACCACGCTCAATGAGTCATTCAGGCCCGACTATGACTTCAGTGCAGCTCGGGGCCACGAGTTCAGCCGGGAGCCCAGCCTCAACTGGGTCAGTAGCAAAGCCTCTGCTCCTCTCATGATTAGACCACATTAGGATGACTTTAAACCAACCCAGTTAGACAGCCGTTCAAGCCTAATTTCAGAATTGCTCACATACTCATATACAGATGCTCTGAATCATCCCATGCAAGTCCTGGAAGCACATTGTAACAAAGGCATACACATAAGGGGAAGGTAGTGAATTTTCCATAAGGGGCTTATGCAACATCACAGGCTGTAAGATAGAGGTGTCAAGCTCAATTCCTGGAGGGCTGTGTCTCTGCTGGTTCATTTTATTACCTTTCAGTTTGTCTAATTAAGACCTCAACAACCAAGTGACTTATCAAAAACCTTAATTACAACCTAACTAATAGATCTTAATTGATCAATCAAGTACAAGGGAGGCCCTTCAGGAATTGAGTTTGACACCCCTGCTGTACGATTTTAGCCATCTTATGCCACGATTTTGCAGTCCTGGACAAAATCTTAAATCGTAAATGATTGTCGGATGTCTTGACTCGTTCAGTGTGACAGGGTCTAGGTCTGCCGATTTAAGTACCACTGTGCGGTCGTAGGCTCTGGCAAAGTTCTGGCAGTGTCAGATTTGTTTTGCCTTTATCGTGTAGTGTGGCTAGTGTTACAAGCCGATCCCGGTGACTGACCAATATGACCAAATGCACACAATAATACGATTATTGTGAATAGTCAGATTAATATAATAGTTTGATTTAAACTTTTACATGCTGTGCAAGAAGAATGATTTCCCTAATAATCGTCTTGTTTAGGCTAAATGACACATCTGAAATCAGGCTACCTGATGGAATTTTGATAAATGCACAAAATCACCAATCAAAATAAACGTTCTACCACAGCGACCATGTTCTTTTGGGAAAGCCTATTTGATTCTGAGTTCGGACATAGAAAGTTTGTATGTGAACTATTTCTAAGATGTATACTTTCAGTTTTTCCAAACTCACTTCACTCGCATGTAAGCAGTGAGTGAGGTTTGCGCTGCTGGTGTTGGCACATCCACAGATCAAATACAGCGCTGCAGTTGACAGCCTACGTCGGCTGACGTAGCCTCGCAAGCCAATTGCAGAATGTGACGACAGAACTGAAGAAAATCGTACAATCTTGCCAGGTTGATATCAAGATTTTAATTTGGTAACATTGCACAGTGTGACGTGATAATCGTAGAAGTCTGAATCCGACATACAGCCTACAAAGGCCTTAAGAGGTCTATTCATCTGTGAGGAGAATGAGAAGTAATGATTGTGTGCCATGCCTCCTCCAGGTGGCAAATGCAGTAAACAGCAGCCTGTACTCATCAGTTGGAGTGGAGTTCAACTCCCTGGGGCCAGAGCTGTGGAACTCCATCGACAAGGAAATTAGCCTGCAGGAATGTGACATATACAGGTGTGTGTGAAGGTACATGTACAGTATGTTTTCTGATTCTTGTGTTTGCTGCCAGTATATTTATTTGTCCCTCTTTGTCCTCAGCTACAATCCTGACCTGGACTCAGACCCCTTTGGTGAGGAAGGCAGCCTCTGGTCCTTCAACTACTTCTTCTACAACAAGAGGCTGAAGAGGATTGTATTCTTCACCTGTCGCTCCATCAGGTGAGCAGCCACAGCAGGCCTCACTGTCTCCATGCAATCTTTGACAATGCATATGAGTTTGTTAGTTCTACAGCCAGTATGAAATAGTTGGTGGCCTGTGGATGAACTTCTATGGTCCACCATGTATGAATATAAAATCAGAAAATCTGTTTCGCATTGCTGGTATGAATTGCTCACACCAAACCAGCATATTCTACTGGTTCTGGGGGGTGGCTTTCATTATACAGCAGCAGGAGTTGATTGGGCTTGACGTGCCGAGGCAGCTTGTACACAACCTAAAGCCTGTCTGGTCTCATGTGGTATGGGACTGTAATCCATTACCAGGAGGATAAAAGGCTAGGGAAGGGGACTAACATATCTCCAAAACCTCCAGAAACAATCTGTCAACCAGAGCAAACAGATGTACCGGTATGTTTGAATAAGGAGTCATGATATTTCTGCTTTACTTCCAAAGTGTCCTGAGTGGGTATGGCCGCGATTGTCTGGACAATGAGTTGGACATGGAGCTGAATGATGATGATGAGGAGGAGATTGAGGGATTCACTGAGGACAGGTGGGATCATGTTACTATAATAATGTTACTACCTGCTTATACTCTAGCGCACCAATGGGCCTCAATCTTACATATATACATTTGTCAGTGCATGGGGTTGCGTTTGTGTTTCGTGTCTAAATAGAGACATGATTAACACTACCTTGTTCTCTCCCTGTCTGCAGGTTCCCCAAAGCTCTCTGTGTCTAACGCTCTCCAGATGGAAGACAAGCCCATGCAGGCCAAAGATGTAGGCCTACACATCCTCCCCGTTTGTTTTCTTTTCATCTGTTTTTTTCTGTCTCAATGTTCTGTAGAGCCTGACCCAGAAAGCCATTTGCGCATTTAGAGGAAGGATATTTTTTCCCCCCATTGACAAGTGCATGTTTCACACCTTTCACATCAGCTGGATCCAAACATACCGTGAAGGACATTTTTGAAATGCCCATGGAATCTAGGGTCTCGCGTTTATTGTGCTCTCTATCCTCCATCATGGTCCCTAACCTAAGAACTGACCTGTGCCTGGTTATTTGATGGAAGGACCTTCCTCTGAACCCCAAGGCCTTTCGAACCACAACCTCGACTCCAAACCAGCCTCTGCTTGGACGCTGCACTCTGAAAGAAACCTATTGGACCGGTCTTGGGAGATTTATGGTCAAGAGAGACCATGGACAGCTAACCCTGACAAGCACATTTTCTGTTATTGAAGATATTATTATTATTATTATTATAAGATCCCAGCAAATGGTGTCACAGAAATCACTGTGTAAATGGAGATGATTAAGTCCACAGTCCAACACCAGCATCAATGAGATTCATGGAAGGGGTGGGTCTAATTACATAAATGTGAAAGTCCAATCCCACGCCTCCACTCCCACGCCTCCACACTGGGTAAAGGGTGATACAACGAGAGCCAATTCAATTGAGTCTATCCAGCTGACTTCCATTTGTGACTGCTTACTTCTAGGTGTGGCTTATGTTTGACAGTGACGTTACTATGAGAACTGAACTTTTATAGCACTTGAGTTTTGAAACAAATGCTGCATTTGTAATGGTACCTTGTATTATGTTATGTTGAATCTACTGAAAAAATAAACTCAATACAATGTTTATTTTTATTTTTTTAAAGTATTAAGTATCTACAACTTCCGTGGATGTGAAATTGAGATGGCACTGCCAAAGAAAAGCAATATAACAGACTTGCAGCTTATATAACATATCACTTTCATGAGACTCACATTGTTCTGTCTATCAATAACCATATTCCCTCAATGTGTGATTTGTTTCTCTTCGGTTACCTCAATCATATTGTAAAACTGTACCCGTATTCCACTGCTACAAACGCATCCATTTAGTTTATGCTGTTAAACTTGAGAAAGGCTTTGGTTTTATGTGCAACTGCATGTACTGAAGCAGCAAAGTCATCAGCGATATTTCCAGTAATGGTTAATGTACTACAGCATTTTTTGATCAAAATACCCTTTATTGATGACCTATGTTCAGTACCTGTTTTGATTAAACAATATGTTAATAAAGTTTTGTTTGAACCAAAATGTGTCCTGTCAGAGAGGAGTGGACACAGGCAACTCACCGATCACAGGCAACACATCCCACACACAGGGAAGAAAATAACTAATTAAAATGGTTTGAACAGTAATGACTTATGTGATACAGCAGTACAAGATGAGAGAATGTGTTATGTTGTTACACTTCAACCTTTTCATACCTAAAATTGTTCCTATGGACATTGTTGAGTGGAACCTGACCTTTAATGGAAAGAGACAAGGGCGTCGCTTCTAAAACCCTTGCACATATTGCTGGAGCACATTCAGACCTTCTACAAGACATTGATTACATTTTAACCACTAAATGAATGTGGAAACTACAACTATTTATTAAAATAAGTAATGAATAGCTGACTTCAGTCTTAAATCATTATAGCAGGCTGAGATGAGATCTTTGTAGACCGTATTCATCAGTCTCTGATGTTCCAGGTGATACAGTGTCTAGGTCTGGTTTACTCAGAGAAAGATAGAGAACTCTTATCTCTCCCCTTATAGCGTCTGTGTACACGAGCAGTGCCATTGAGGCCATCTCCATTTTGAAGTAGTCAATTTCCTTCTACTTCGATTAGTTGGTAAACAAGCTGAAAAGGTGTATACTGCCACATGGAGTGTTTGAACAGGTATAAAGCCAAGGTTGGAGATTTACTGCCACCTGCAGTTATGGGAATTTTGCTCACAAGTATAATTCATCAGCTGATTACTCCTGATGAGCTGGATGGAATTATGTGATCCTTCCTTAATCCATAGAAAGTCCCACCCAGTTGACTACAATGGTGCTGCCCATGCTAAAATAGGCTTTTGGGCACTAGAGTCCTCTATCATTCTCTATGGGTTTACTTTATGGCAAAAGTCACATGATCCACCGCCACACTGTCCCTTGGGGTAGGCCCAGCAATGCTCAATCCATCCTATTTAAATCAGGAAAGAGGCAGAGAACAAAGGTCTCATAACAATGGTATACTTTCATAAAATTATTGGAATGGCACAATAAATACTTATCACCACTGATTTACATTTTAATGGTTCTTAAAATTGGTAAATGTCACCTTAACCTTGGAGACTTGGATCTTGAAGACTGGAGCAAAAGCAGGTAGAATCAGGGGAGAAAAGGACCAGGGCATGAAAGTCCAGAAGCAGAACTGGGGGAAGGGGACACCAAACCAGGCAAGTAGAGGTTGACTTCAGACAGCTGGATGATAAATAGAGGGGCTCAGTGGGGATGAAGCAGAAAAGAGAAACATGCATGGTAGCGGGCTAATACCTCACTAAGCCAACACCCAAAACATCTACACTATAGCAGCACAGCTACAGGAACAAAGGCAATCGAGGAACACAAATAAAATACATTCATTAAAGTAAATTAATGAAGGGGAGAATGGATGGATAGAGAAAGGTTAGAAAAAGCAGAAATACCTTATTTACGTAAGTATTCAGACCCTTTGCTATGAGACTCGAAATTGAGCTCAGGTGCATCCTGCTTCCATTGATCATCCTTGAGATGTTTCTACAACTTGGAGTCCACCTGAGGTAAATTCTATTGATTGGACATGATTTGGAAAGGCACACATCTGTCTATATAAGGTCCCACAGTTGACAGTGCATGTCAGAGCAAAAACCAAGCCATGAGGTCAAAGGAATTGTCCGTAGAGCTCCGAGACAGGATTGTGTCGAGGCTAGGGAAAGGTACCAAAAAATGTCTGCAGCATTGAATGTCCCCAAGAACACAGTGGCCTCCATCATTCTTAAATGGAAAAAGTTTGGAACCACCAAGACTCTTCCTAGAGCTGGCCACCTGGTCAAACTGAGCAATTGGGGGAGAAGGGCCTTGGTCAGGGAGGTGACCAAGAACCCGACGGTCACTCTGACAGAGCTCCAGAGTTCCTCTGTGGAGATGGGAGAACCTTCCAGAAGGACAACCATCTCTGCAGCACTCCACCAATCAGGCCTTTATGGTAGAGTGGCCAGACGGAAGCCACTCCTCAGTAAAAGGCACATGACTGCCCGTTTGGAGTTTGCCAAAAGGCACCTAAAGGACTCTCAGACCATGAGAAACAAGATTCTCTGGTCTGATGAAACCAAGATTGAACTCTTTGGCCTGAATGCCAACCGTCAAGTCTGGAGAAAACCTGGCACCATCCCTACAGTGAAGCATGGTGGTGGCAGCATCATGCTGTGGGGATGTTTTTCAGTGGCAGGGACTGGGAGACTAGTCAGGATCGAGGGAAAGATGAACGGAGCAAAGTACAGAGAGATCCTTGATGAAAACCTGCTCCAGAGCGCTCAGGACCTCAGACTGGGGCGAAGGTTCACCTTCCAACAGGACAACGACCCTAAGCACACAGCCAAGACAACGCAGGAGTGGCTTCAGGACAAGTCTCTGAATGTCCTTGAGTGGCCCAGCCAGAGCCTGGACTTTAATCCGATTGAACATCTCTGGAGACCTGAAAATAGCTGTGCAGCGACGCCCCCCATCCAACCTGACAGAGCTTGAGAGGATCTGCAGAGATGAATGGGAGAAACTCCCCAAATAACAGGTGTGCCAAGCTTGTAGTGTCATACCAAAGAAGACTCTAGGCTGTAATTGCTGCCAAAGGTGCTTCAACAAAGTACTGAGTAAAGGGTCTGAATACTTATGTAAATGTAATATTTCCTTTTTAGTTTTTTTACATTTGCAAACATTTCTAAAAACCTGTTTTTGCTTGGTCATTATGGGGTATTGTGTGTAGATTGATGAGGGGAAAAAAACAATTTAATCAATTTTGGAATAAGGCTGTAACGTAACAAAATGTGGAAAAAGCCAAGGGGTCTGAATACTTTCCGAATGCACTGTATGTGTGTGGAAAACATTTCATCACAGGTAAGAGATTTAACTTGTTTAGTACAGTCCGTTTGGAACTCCACTCACTACTTGTAGCTGTATACTTCGTTTGTTTGTGTTGTTGGTCTTTGCTAGCTTACTGTTCTGTCTGTAGTTAGCTAGCACTCATTCACTCAGGTGGCTGTTAGCACCATTATGAAAAGGGGCATGAGGGAAGCCCTGTATATTACAACAGGTATTTTTTCCCCCACAGGTGGGCAGGACTGCGACGTTCTATCTAATACCGACTGGGACTATTGCCGAAAGGCCAGTCTCTTTGCCATTGACAAGGAGTGTCAAGGAGTGGAATGTTAGCTAAAGAGACTGGTACCCAGGCTAGAAGCAACTGACTTCAGACAAAAGTCGAGAAGTGAAGTCAGGGGTGGCGCATCTGATACAGCCGAAAGTGCAACATGGCAGTGTTGCAATTGTTTTATAAAAGTTTTTCTTTGTAATGTCGAAATAAACATGTCTCCAATCCCCATATCACACACTCACAAACTGTAAATATATGTATGTGTACATTGTACTATCAATTGGGGAGAGAGAGACTCAAATATCACATTAATTGTACATATCCACTGTATACATATTAATTGCGGCAAAGTTGCTACCTGTTTCAGTCACGTGTTTGCAGTGGCGTGTATTCGTGGATGCCAAGGGAAGCCTGGCTTTTAATTATGTACACTACCGTTCAAAAGTTTTAGAACTCGTACTCATTCAAGGGTTTTTCTTTATATTTACTATTTTCTACATTGTAAAATAATAGTGAAGACATCAAAACTATGAAATAACACATATGGAATCATGTAGTAACCAAAAAAGTGTTAAACAAATGAAAATATATTTTATATTTGAGATTCGTCAAATAGCCACCCTTTGCCTTGATGACAGCTTTGCACACTCTTGGCGTTCTCTCAACCAGCTTCATGAGGTAGTCACCTGGAATGCATTTAAATTAACGGGTGTGCCTTCTTAATGTGTTTGAGCCAATCAGTTGTGTTGTGACAAGGTAGGGGGTACACAGAAGATAGCCCTATTTGGTAAAAGACCAAGTCCATATTATGGCAAGAACAGCTCAAATAAGCAAAGAGAAACGACAGTCCATCATTCCTTTAAGACATGAAGGTCAGTCAATACGGAATATTTCAAGAACTTTGAACGTTTCTTTAAGTGCAGTCGCAAAAACCATCAAGCCATATGATGAAACTGGCCGCCATGAGGACCGCCACAGGAATGGAAGAACCAGAATTACCTTTTCTGCAGAGGATAAGTTAATTAGAGATACCAGCCTCAGAAATTGCAGCCCAAATAAATGCTTCACAGAGTTCAAGTAACAGACACATCTCAACATCAACTGTTCAGAGGAGACTGTGTGAATCAGACCTTCATGGTTGAATTGCTGCAAAGAAACCACTACTAAAGGACGCCAATAAGAAGAAGAGACTTGCTTGGGCCAAGAAACACGAGCAATGGTCATTAGACCGGTGGAAAATTGTCCTTTGGTCTGATGAGTCCAAATTTGAGATTTTTGGTTCCAACCACCGTGTCTTTGTGAGACGCGGTGTGGGTGAACGGATGATCTCCGCATGTGTATTTCCCACCGTAAAGCATGGAGGACGAGGTGTTATGGTGTGGGCGTGCTTTGCTGGTGACACTGTCTGTGAT